ACAATAACCTTTATTTCACATAGATGCATTTACTTGTGTTATGATTGACAATGTTAATTCAAAAAACTAAAAAAAAATGTATGCTATAATTCACGTTATCATTTAAAGTACAATGTTATAATAGAAAAACTACATAACGAAGATGCTATAAATAATAAAAATATGTTATATTTCACATTTAAAGTACAATAATATAGTAGAAAAACAACTCCCACTTATGTTTTAATTTTTCATATTTTGTTATATATATATATATATATATATATATATATATATATATATATATATATATAGTGTTATTACTTTTCAGGATGTCATTTTTTTGAGTTGCATTGGTTCATCTCATGGCTGTTGTGATGGGTCATGGAGGTGATGGTGGTGACGAGCCACCACATCCGTTCAGTGGAGATTTTGGTGTTCACCAAATTGATGGTAATTAAGATTTATTCTAATTCATTATATTTCATATTGTATGTATTTAAAAAACCATCTTGACTAATATTTTTTGCAGTTGTACCTCCCAGACGAAGAGGCATGGCGGTAAACAAGAAAATGCATCGGCTATACGAAACAAACGGTAGATGGCCTCTAAAAATAATATTTGACAGAAATACATTTGTGCCGATTGGGGATGTATACGAATGCTTCATTCTGGAGGTTGGAAGTTATATCTGGCGCGACATAGCTTTGGATAAGAACACCTGGAAAGAAGTTCCCGAAACTAATCGGAATGGCATGTTTACAAATCTTTCTATAAATTATTTATAAAGTTATATTTAACATGTTTAATTTTGATTTATTTTTAGCTTCTCTATTTTTTGTAGACATATTTTGATTTTCAAACCATTTCAAATGATCACGATGCTAGAATTTTATGGGCATCACTAAACCATCGGATATGACAGCGGTATAGAGGCCGCAAAAATAGGGCAAAAGATAAATTTATAAATTTATAGATATGTTAGAAGGTGCGGAGGTAGCAAGTGCTCGACCCCCCCCCCCCCTATGGTATGGATTCAGCGCGTTGGAGTTCTACTATTGACCACTTCTTAACTGATACGCATTGTAAACGATCTAGTGTAAACAAAGAATGTCGGAAGAAGCAAGTAGTTAAGAATCGTGGAGGGATGTGCAGTTATGGTAGTGCTTCTTTCAAAAATGTAAGTTATATTAATGCTTATTCAGTTATACCATATTTTGTAATGTTTATTCAAGTATAACATATGTTTTAAAGTTAAACATGATTTGAATAAACTTGAACTATTTCACCGTGCACATGTCAATAAACAAGGGGAATTCGTTGACCCGTTAGTTGAAGAACAGTATGAAAGTTATTATTACTTAAAAATGAATTAGAATGTTGTTTTTTTGTGTTTGTTTTGAAGTATATTCACAATCTTCGTGAAATGCAAAATGCTTTAGTTGCTGAGGTTGCTTTACAAACTCAGCATATAGCCGACTCCAGTGGTGATCCGAACTCCATTGATTGGATAGCCTTATTTGAGAAGGTGTTAGGTGGTTGAAGGGGGCATGTGAGAGGCATCGGGCCTAAGCCTTCTGTAGCGGGTATAAGTGCTCCCTCCCAGTGGCATTCACAGTCACAAACACTGCAACCAACACAGGTATTTATTAATTTGTTGTGAATTTTGTTGTTTGGTAGTTTGGTATAGTTTGTTAGTTTCTTTGTTTGTTAAATTGTTATGAATTCAGTAGTTTGTTAAATTGTTAAGGACTTAATGTGTTTGTCACTTAATTGTTAAGTAATAATAATTTGTTTATATAGTTAGATATATTTTAACTTATATTCTTACTTTGTACGATGTGGATGTTAACGCTATTATCCAAATCCCGACGTTTGTAACGGCAATTGGAGATATTATCTGCTCATTTAGCAAGCAAGTCGACAATGCGACTAACAACAACGAGGAAAATGACGATGGGGAAGACGATTAATATATATTGTTTTATATTATGGATGATGTTATTATGGATTTATTAGAGTATGGACTAGATCGACTACTATTTCATGTTTCGACTATTATTTCATGTTTGTTAGATTGTTTATGTAATGTGATATACTTTATGTATGTTATTTGATATTTTATGTAATGCAGATTTTTAAATTATAATTTTTATATAAATTATGTATTTTTATAAATAAAATAATATAAAATATAAATTAAAAAAATAATTAAAAAAAACAGACATTAGTGGCGACACCTTTAGGGACAATCCTGAGTATTAGCGACGACAACTCCCGCCAGAATATTTGGTCGGAGTAACATTGGCTGGTGGCCGGAATATTATTAGGGATGATGCCTTTAGGGACGACTATTGAGTATTAACTACGAGGTATTTGCGGCGACCCAATTAAAACGACATGTCGTCCCTAATATCTTTGGGGGCGACATTCTTGACTATTTGCGACGTTTTTTTGTCATCTCTAAAGGAGCCTTTTCTTGATGATTAGGATATTTTTAAATGGTCGTGCTTAGTAGCTTCATTTTGATGGATATATGTTAGTTATCATGACCAAAGGGTGTTAAGATTTTCCAATATAATAAAGTTCAATTATGAGCCATACTAGTAAAAAGTCTACCTCAAACATCATCTTCGTCACACTTATGGACCAATATGATGTAACCAGACCAGTGTGAGGCTGGTGCAAAAGGAATGTTTTAACCACCCACCCAATATGATGCGTTCACATTTACAAACGTCTGTGGTTTTTCTCTTCTGCCAACTTTTTTATGCCATGATTGAAGTCTTCAATAGGATTTGAATGAGTTTTATGCGTTCATCTTTATCTACAACCAACTTTAACTCTTTATCCTTTTCTTTGTTTCAACTTTATACAGCCAACACCAACCAAAAGGATGTTTTATATGTTTCTCTCGAGATGACATTCCTTTATATTATTCACATTCTTCCAACTATTCAATTGATAAATTATTGTACCACTTTCGTTTGGTTTAGGACAATATTAAAGAACTGTTATTGATCAATATTAAAGAACTGTGATTAACTATTCACGGGTGTTTGATCATTTAAGCTGCTTAAGCCGCATAGGTATGGGTCATCCCATCAATATCAAATTGTTTTCACTTCACATGGCACTCTCCATACCACATCACATTTATTACCAAATACCTACCGCAACACCATTTTAATTTCCACTATCATCTTTGTTTTTCATTTTTTTCGGTAATTATAAAAATAAATTATATATTTTTAAAATACATAACATTTAAATTGAAAATATATAAAGACATTACACGACCACAAAAAAACGCTACAATAAAAAAATATACAATGAATTGTCAAGTCATCGAGGAGTTCTTGTTGCAACATTTTACGATCTTCGGGCGTCAAACCTTCGGTGCTCGTCCTACGAATTGTCAAGTCATTGAGGAGTTCTTGTTGTCGATGGATTGCTTCTTGTTGTTCTCGGCCTCTCGTCATTCCGGAAGATTTCTATGTGCTCATGTCTCAACACATTTTTTTGTTGTTTCACTACAATGTGCTCCTTGCACTATAAGAAAAAGTTGATTTTGTTAGGGAAGAAATCTGATGCAAAAAATAGAAATTTCTTTGCAAAAAAACAAATAATGATGGAATTTGCAACAAACCATTTCCATCCCAAAAAACCCTGTGGCGAAGGTTTGCGACGGAAACAATAATTTCATCGCAAACATAACAAAGGAATGAAATCAGTTGTAGATTGTATCCCGTCGTGTAATTCGTAGTGGTATTCTATTGCGAATTTCGTAGTGGTTCTTCCATCATAAATTCCGTTGTAGTGGATCCCTAAAAAAATTTGTAGTGATGAATCTCTTGCAAAATATGTGGTGATGAATCTAGCAAAATTTGTGGTGATTAATCTCTAGTAAAATCTGTGGTGATTAATCCCTAACTAAATCTGTGGTGATTAATTCCTAGCTACATCCGTTGTGATTAATCTCTAGCAAAATCTGTGGTTGTGAATCCCTAGCAAAATCCGTTATGATGAATCCCTAGCAAAATTTGTTGTGATGAATCTCATGCTAAATCTGTAGTGATGAATCACTAGCGAAACCCGTGGTCTATATTCTATAGCAGATTGCATAGCAAATTGCGTAAGAATATTTTCAATGCAAAACCTAGATATCTATGGATGGAATTAAATTACAAATTAAATCCAATTAATTTGTACTAATATATAAAAACAAAATAACAAAAAATCAAATAGCATTTATATCATTAAAAAAATATTTATTACATCGAAAATGAAAAATGATTAATCTAAAATAAATACTTTGCAATAAAAAAAATAAGAAAACTTCAATAAAGTCCTAAAATTTTGGCCCAGATTATGTTTTAGTCATAAATTAAATTTTTTTTAACGAAAAAGACCTAAAAACCGCCAAAAGTTTGCATTTTGACCCTTTTTTTGACCGGTTGGAACCAATAACATATTAATTTGAGACTCGTAAACTGACACAATATTAGAACTTTTCTAAAAAAAATTAAAAAATTAAAAAAAAAATTAGTATTTTTCTGCATACAAAAACTTTATTATTATTATTATTATTATTATTATTATTATATATATATATATATATATATATATATTAAACTTGTCTTCCAACATGAATAGTAAACTGGTAGATTTTTGGCAGAAATGGTCCTCTGTCTATGCATATATGTTTAAATTCGTCTTTAGGGTTATTTTCTGTCAATATCCATATTTTTGTGGACACGTGTTGCGTCTGCCTTTGCTATTTCTTCTTGGTCTTATCTCTATCAGTCTCTAGAGACTTCCATACCTAAAATATCGCACCGCCTCCTTATCCAGTATCTTCCGCTCCATCCCCTATCTAGCCCGCTAAGACCGTCTTGCCTCTTTCTTCTTTTGAGACTACATCACAGGGTCGCTGCCTTCGTTTTCCAATTAGATCGTCGACCATCTTCAAAGGCCCTTCGTGTGGAGGTCTGGAGTTCAGAGACGTTAACCCATCAGGATGTGTAGTATGTTTTCGTCAAATGTGCGATGTTTAGCAGATGCGTCGGTTCACTATCCGGCACAGCAGAAGTCGACGATTTTGTTCGTTCTCACCACCGTCCGACGAGGGTTTGTTACCGGCCATATTTTTGATCGTAAGTTCTCAGTTCCGATCGACACCACCAAGAATAGCTGGTACCACACTTAAACCAGATCTTCCTGTTTTTTTAATCGATTGCCCTCCTCTTTTATCTTCTTCTTCTTTTTATTTTTTTGCTGGTGTATTACAGAAGAACAGTGGATGGAGATGACTTTCGATCTGTCTATATGTAACGTTTTGAGTTTGATTTCAGAGCCAATGCTTCAATTTTTGTGCGTGCAATCGATATCCATCATGAAGCAGACCTTTGCCAGCTTCCATTAACAATCTAACTACCGGTGGTCTCAATTAAGTTTTATTTCAGTTACTCTATATAAATTTCTTTGTATGATTTCACGTCTTACTGGGTATCTACATAAATTTCATTTCCTCTCCTCGCCTGACCATCTTCCTCCATGATTTCATAGGTTTTTGTTGACCGATTTCATCATTTCTAAACCCTCAATCTCCAATAAACACGTTGACCTGTCGAAGTCGGATGAGCATAGCTGAAACAGTTAGGCTATTACTCCCAATTTATGTTGATCTAAAGTGTATCCCAGCTTCCATTCATCATTTACTAGCCATACAAGGATTACATCGATGGGGCTCTGAAGCGCTACAACTTAACAACAACAACCAAGAAGAGGTAAACTTTTTTATCTGCTAAAATCTACTATTTTGTTCTTTTAAATGCATAAACTTAATATGTGTCTGAATGTGTTATTGGCAGTGGAATCAATTTTGCATATGAGTTGATTTTCATTGTAGCAGTCTATGGTTTTGCTTCTGATGGGTGGTATGTTCCTTTCCCAACATCATTAAATTTCTGGTAAGCACGCCAAGTGTTTGACATTTTGCTTCAATGAACTTCATTTTATACTTTTATATGGACCCTTGATGTACCTCTGTAGATGCAATCACTTTCAGTTTAGAGGTGATGCAAAGGTGCCAGAAGAAGCGCAGAGGTGAATTTTGTTTTCCATTTCAAATTAGTGGTCTCCACCATTTTTTGATGTTTATTATGATTTCATTCTGGATTAATTTCACTACGTGATTTGAGATAGTATTTTAATTGATGTTGATGATTTTTTCATTTTACTTGCAGCTCTCTTTGAAAGCAGTCCACCAATTTCTCTTGCTTTCTCTCTATACACAAAACTGTTTTTATTTCTTATTTCCAATTCATGTTCTTAGCTTAATTGACTTTTGTTCATATGGTAATAGTATTTTTTCTTCAAATTAAAAAGTAAATTATAATATTTTCAAAACTGCTAACAATTGTTTATATCTGTTTGTTTCAGAGGTTATAACTTCAACAAAGTTTCATCCTTCACATTATAATATGTTGGCATATAGCAGCTCAAAAGGGAAGGCTTCTTGATTTGAGGCAATCAGGTTTATGTGACAATCATAGCAAATTGTAAGTAAATACAAATTTTGAATTTTCTACTAATCTACTTTCCTTCATTTATATTTCTTATTATTCATTTACTGTTACAGATTTGAACAACATGAACCTTAAGGTTCAGGATCTTCTTTCACATACATTATTTCCTCAATTTCTGATATAAAGTTTGCAATGGGGATTAGGTATATACCGAGTTGCAACTACATGACACATAAGGTACTTTTTTTATAAAAATATTTCATTTGTATATATTCTTCCATAACTATTTTGTTTTTAATTATGTGTGGTTAGCTCTGGGATATAAATATGGGTCCTGGCCCAAGTTTCCAAGTGCATGAACATTTGAGACCCAAGGTAATTAATTATAAACCTTTTAACAACTTTACAAATTTCATATCATCAAATAAGGTCAGCTCTTTCTTTATATTTTCTTCAGTTGTGTGATTTATATGAAAACGATTTGATATTTGACAAGTTTGACTGTTGTCTCAGTGGAGATAGACAATGGGTGGTAACTGGTACTTATTGTTTGCTACATGTTTCAATTTCAGTTTCTTGACGTGATACCCTTTTTTCTACTATATTCCCTCAAAAATCGGTTATTTTATAAATTTTCTAATATTTTTATGTTCTACTAACCTATAATTCGTAATCCAACAATTTGTTTCATGTTTTTGGTCATTCTAATTTCATTTTTAGTTGTCATATTGTTTGCTAATAGATGGGCTACCAAAGGTGGAAGGATCTGGTACAAGTACTGTTTTCAAGAAGAATGCATAAGTTTATTCTTTTTGGGTTGTAAGGATCTGGGACAAGTATTGTTTTCAAGAAGATATCATTATCAATCGACGTAATTTGTATGTGTGCAGTGTGTATTAATCTTGCTGATAATTTAACATAATGGAACCTCTTTAATTTTCTAAAAAAGCAATCTTCCACTTTAATATGTTATGTTCCATTGTTCAAATCATATAGTTATATATCCATCCCATTGTTCTTAGTTTTTTTTTCGGTTGGTTTTGTTTGTTTACAGTTAAGGGGTCAGGTTCAGATTTGGAATTGGATTCTGATGCCAATTCTGATGACCATGATCCTCATACAGAATCTATAGCTATAGATGAAAGCAAATGCGAAAGTGTAAGAAGAGGGAGAAAATGAAGTATAGGTTAACATCAAATAATAACCTGGAAAGTTTTGATTGCCAAATGCCAACACGGGAAGTTCTCATTTCTGGTTAAATGACATCTTATGTTGCAATTGTAGTGTTTGGTGCATGATAGAATCAGAGGAAGGAATAGAATGATTCATTCCATTGGAATGAAAAAGAAATTGTTTGTTTTCCTTTAATATTGTTATATTTTTAGCAGTTAAATGTATTATTGTTGCTACTGCATACTAACAAACACAATGACCAACCACACACTACCTATCACTATACAACATACATAACCGATAAACAAAAGAGTAAAACCCTGGTCTTAACCGAACCCCGCGGAGCGGGGTTTCACACCTAGTTGTTGTTGTTATTATTATTATTATTATTATTATTATTATTATTATTATTGCAAAAATGGTCCCTATGGTTTCTCATTTTATGTTGTTATGGTCCAAACGTTTGAAAAGTTGAAAATTTGGTCCTTTTCAACAAGTTTTGTTGTGGTTTTAAGGACCATTTTTGCATACATTCTTTTTTATTTTATTGAAGTGTTATATATTAATAAATATTATTTTATTGAATTGTTAATTTATTTTAGTTAATTCTTTTTTATAATTTTTTGTTGGAATAATTTATTTTTTATTGAATTATTATATATAAATACATATAGTTATTTATATATAATATTATTTATATCATTATAAATATTATATTATTAGATTATTAATATCTTTTACTTAATTTTTGTAATTTATTTTATTTTATTTTTTAATGGATTATTACTTTTAATTTATTATTTTCTTCATATACTAAATATTACATCATTGGATCATTAGTTTATTTTTAATGTAATATTATTTCTTGTTAATTTTTTTGGTAACACCACAAAGTCGTGGATACACAAAATCATCGTCTCTTATCATTGAAATCGTCAGGATCACTGCCAAACACCTATATTGCATGTAGCTTATAATCAGAAACCATATGGAAAACATCACCACCTTCACTTATAATTTTTACAGGGGTTTGTTGCGTATTATATGAGATATGAAGGATTTCAGTGGATTATGAAGAGATTTTCGTAGGTGGCTATTAGCGACGATGGGTGGAACATGTTTGTGGGAATTCTGTTGAACCTCCGATGAAGATGTTTGGCAGTGATACCGCCGATTTTTGAAAATGAGAAACGACGCTTTTGCGTATTTTGGCAACTTTGTGGTGAAACTAATAAAATTAAAAAAAAATAATGCTATACATTAAAATTAAAATAGTAATCCAATTAAATAATATTTGTTATATGAAAAAAATAATAAATTAAAAGTAATAATTCAATAAATAATAATTCAAAAAAATTACAAAAATTAACGGAAAGAAATTAATAATCCAATAATGTAATATTTATTATGATATAAATATTATATATTAAAAATAATATTTATTGGTATATAATAATTCAATAAAAAATGAATTACCCCAACCAAAACAAATTATAAAAAAAATCAACTAAAAGAAATTAATAATCCAATAAAACAATATTTTGTAATATATAATAATCCCATCATATAATATTTATTATGATATAAATATTATATATTAAAAACTATATGTATTGATATATAATAATTAAATAAAAAAGAATTACTCCAACTAAAAAAATTAAAAAAAATAAATTAACAAAAATAAATTAATAATCCAATAAAACAATATTCATTAATATTTATATATTAAAAAATAATATTTATTAATATATAATATTTCAATAAAATAAAAAAAAATGTATACAAAAATGGTCATTATAGTATGGTAAAAGACAAAACTACAAAAATGGTCCCTAAGGGTAAAAATTATCATTTTAAAAAAGTTAACAACCAATCAGTTGAACTTAACGGAAGATGAACCAAAACAATAACAAAACTAATTGAAAAAGAGTAAATCTACAGCTTTTCAAATGTTTGGACCTTAACCACATAAAATTTTTATTTGTAATATTCTCTTATTATTATTATTATTATTATTATTATTATTATTATGATTCTTAGGAACAGGTACCTGACACTCTTCCTCATTTGTACCATGGTTTCCGCTTCTCGATCCTTCCCACCGCCTCTCTATTTCCCGATCCTTCCACTGTCTTTCCTTTGTGAGGGCTTCTCTTTAGAACCGATTGAGAACCGCCATCACCACCGTCTGCTTGCATCGTCGATCTCCGCCAGCTTCAACCATCGTCATCCCGTCGTCACTACCTTCAGGCGATGTACCAAATCTCTCATTCAATATCTTCCGCTTCTCGATTGTTCTGATTTTAACGCAACAGATATTCCACCGCCTTAACATAGGTACGCATTTGAAACACCCCTTTCATCTCTCTTCTAATAGCTATTCTGTAACGTCTTCGTCTGCTGTGTGACCTCAGTTAATCTTTCGCCTCATTCTCATTCAATATCCCGATCCTTTCATCTCTCTTCTAATAGCTATTCTGTAACGTCTTCGTCCGCCGGCGTCCACGCTTTTGGGTATAGGCTATTTCAGGTACAAAGAAAACGGATTACGCCTGCGATACCCATGAGCAATTATGTTTGCTACTCTAGTACTCTAGGACCCAGGTATGAACAATCCCACTTTCCGAAATCGAAACTTTAATTTAGGTTTTCTTCTGATTTTGATTTTGATTCTGATTAGGGTTCAATCTCTTTCAGATAACTATCTCACCCCTAATTTCTTTTCCGGTTTTGGTTTTGGAGTTGAGTATGCCATCTGAAGAGTCGAAGACAAACCGCTGTTTGCTTACGGTAATGTTCCATCCAATTTGGGTTCTGTATATTCAACTTTGTTTCCACATCGAATCTTAATTTGTTGTTTTCGCTGTAAAAAATGTAGCAGAGCAAAGAAAGGGAGCTGCAGAGTACCCATTTGCAGAAGAGATTGACACACATGATTTGAAAAGGAAGGTACCTGGTGTAATTCTTTATCTTATTCCTTCTCAGACTACTGGCCAACAAAAAAGGGAGACCAAAGAAAATCGGTTCTTTTCTTTTTGTTCTTTTGCTGCTTAATTCTCAATTGGAGACCAATATTTTGTTGGTTTGGTTCTTACTATATTAACACATAGGTTGAATCTATGCTTTTAGTGTTTTCTGCGTTCTTTACACTTAAGGGCTTTCAACATCAACAATTTATCTGCTTAGTTTTTATTATTAAAGACATCTATTTCAGTTGTTTTTTGTGAGTTTTGACAATATAATCAACCATTTTTTACAGGTGGTTGTTGAAGGGAAGAAAGAGAAAGTATATGATCTTTCGGGCATGTTTATGGATATGCAGGGTTATATGCGTATTGATTGGACATCTTACTTTTTTTTTCTTCCGGTTTATGCAACAAAGTCATGTTTTATGGTTTGTCCATGGGTAGGGGCTCTGACAGAGCATGTTTTGTATGATGAAGTAAGCAGTTGGAAACAAACCTTTTGAACATGTGTGGTGCTATCATGTCTGTCATTAATAAGCATCTGATTCCATCTTCATATGCTGGAGCATATCTACTATTTTCTGTTACAAAATGTGAGTGTGGAGTCCGAGTAGGTAATGTAATTGTAGCTTCTATTGATAGATTTTGACATGATGATCATATAAATATTTGTTATTTTAGCATTGATTGCATTCACATACGACAATATTGTGATTTCTTCAATGATTTTAATATGTAAGCTTAAAAAGCAACAAGATGCAATAATGGAGATTTCATTTAGGGTTTTCTGATTTTGTTTGATCATCTTAAGATGCAAATTAATGGGGGAAGTTGCTTCTGATAAATGTCATAAATGGGTGTTCAAAGAGCCTTTGGAATCTGAATATATTATTTTTAATTATTGGCAAAACTGTTTCGATGATGTATGCTTCTCAAGAACACAAACTTTTTTTCATCATTATTCATTGTTATTGAGTTTGTAAGGTAATGAACTCTTGAGTTTTATGAATTTTCCCTTTTAATTTTTGCAGATTCCTACTGAATGGATCAAACAATTTGATTCAGGGATTCATGTGATTTTTGATGATTTTTTTTTTTGGGTTTTCATACGAGTTTATGTGTTTTAAAGTGAATAAATTTGAACATTTTTAATAAAAAGAGAATATCATCATATTTCCTATTATTTTGCTTCAAAATAATCTGGTTTAAAAAATTAAATAAGTAGCAGCTGACAGCTGTAAGATTAACTGATTATTAAAATAAATTATAAAATGGAGGAAAAAACAATCTACCATTTAGTTTTAGATTTTTTACGTCGTAATAAATATCTTGATTTAGACTTTTACAGACTATTAGTGTCATTCAAGCTGGCCATGGGCTTTTGTAACTTGGTTCATGCAAGACTGTAAGTTTAAATCTATTTCCCTTTTTACATACACAAATGGGTCGGACCGATCAGGATTTTCTTGGGCGTGCTAAAAATGGTAATACATGATCTTTGATACATTTTACCTTACTAACATAGTACTATGTTGACGTTTTTTTACCTTTGGATCTTTATGTAATAATGTAATAAGTAATCACCATTGTTGAGAATCGTATCAAACATAATTATTTTTTGTTAAAAAAAAAGGAAAAAAAAAGGTATTCTTCCAACAATCCATGAGTCAGCACATAATGATCTACCACTGGGGTACACAGTAGTCCGTTAGATGGCTGTCAGTAGAGCTCCACATGAAACTTTGGTACCAATTATTGTTCAGTTGTTGATGTTGATGTTGTTGCTGAGACTTGAACCATTGACCGTTTTTTTTTTCTTGTGTTTTTCAGATACGAGAAGACCTCCATTTAATGCTTAGAATGCGTCACACATTCAACTCACTCGGCTATCAATCAAGTTTTTACCTTTCCTAACTATTCACATCAACCCGAGCCAACATGTCACCGCCACCATCCGTCGCCGTAATCCCGTTAACGCAAACCACCCATTCCCACCCATCCGCTACCCCTCTACAACTAGGCCCCATTTATACCTACTTTCTAAGGGAAAAAAATGAAAGTACATTGTTATAATTTGCTATATTTTTCAAAAACCAAAGCTCGACGTAACGTATCAATCTAGATTGCTATTTTTTGCTACTTGGTGCTATTTCAGACGCATATAAAAATTCTAACATGTATTAATCATATTACATGGCCAGTTTTTTCAATGCATAGGTAATCCAAAGAGAAAAGCATGGAAAAAAAGAGAAGAGGTATATGAGGACTTCTCTAATAGAGGTGGACTAGTAAGATTTTTCATTTATAGCATCATACTTTCAGTTTCTATTTTATTTTATTTTATTTTTTTTAATTGCTTTATTAAATTTACCAACTATAAAAATGAACTTACTTCACACTTGGATCAGATTGTTATAATTGGCCAGATTTTTCAATATACAATGATATATAAAGACGTCCTCTTATAGCAACCTACTTTCATTTCTTGGAGAATTGAAAAAAAGCAATAAACATTTACATAAAACAATTTTTTATGTGTTCTTTGCGGTCCTTGCTAATTTAAATAATGGCACCTCCATGATTTCTGATTTTGAAAATCTAATATAAGATTTTGTTTTCTATAATTCTATATAATCAGATTTTGAAATTTTGATATTAAAATTATGGTTTTTAAAATCTATAATAGGAAAATATGATGTATTTAAAATTCTGATGTATCTGAAATTCTGATATTAAAATTATGACTTTGAAAATCTGACATTGGTGTGCAAGTGTATTATTTTGGTTTATCGTGGTCTTTCAGGTATCTTTGTGGTTGTTTCTATTTGGATGGATCAAAGATGCTCCTGTGTTGACTTTTTTGCCCTCGTAGTGGTGGCTGCCTTTGTGGTTTTCTAATATGTCTACGCGGAATGGATCACTGATCTATATATTTTTGCGCGGAATGAATCATATAAGTGGAGAATTCAGTAATGTCTGAATTTTTAGTGTTGGAGAAATTGATAGCTGCATGGGATAAAAACAACACCTTCCACCCCCCGCAACACGGGGGGAAACTTTCTAGTTATTATTATTATTATTATTTTATTAAAAATATAAATAGGTATACTATTTTTTAAATTCCTTATTATTAATATTGTTAATAATACATATAAATACGTTTATGAGCGTTTAATATTGTTAATATTGTTAATAATAGTCGTCTTTTTTTATGACAGGGCATTCCGTGACACGTATTTACGTGTCGTCTGAGCGTTTTACGACACGCATTGCGTGTCATAAAAGGTTGTTTTTCTTGTAGTGACATCATCATCCCCTTCACCTTCACCCTTAAAAACCGTTTTTAATATTTTTTTCATTTAAACGTATTTATATGTATTATTAACAATATTAATAATAAGGAATTTAAAAAATAATATACCTATTTATATTTATAATAATAATAATAATAATAATAATAAGGTTTTTGTTTGCAGGAAAATCATAATATTTTTGTTTACAGAAAATATCAATATTTTTGGTTAGTTTACGAAAAATTAATTTGTTGACGTTGGAACCGGTCAAAAAGGGGTCAAAATGCAAAATTTTACCGGTTTTTAGGACTTTTTCATAATATATATATATATATATATATATATATATATATATATATATATATATATATATATATTTGAGGACTAAAACGTAAACTGAACCAAAATTTTGGGTCTTTATTGGAGATTTCCCTAAAAAAAATTAACATTTTAAGATCTACTATTTTTGTAGTTCTTTAAAAATGTTAATAATAGTCATTGCCGATTGGAATTGTTTATTAAGTTGCTCGATTCTTGCGTTGTGTTCGTCATCTTTGGCCTTGTTTCCTTAAGCTCTTCGTTTTGCTCTTTTTCTTTAGTAACAAGTTCCCTCAATTTTTCCCATTCATTATTTTTTTATGGAATGTAACATAGTGCCGTCGTACAGTTGATCATCAAAACCATCTTTGCAAATGAGCCAAATCCCTACAGTCTTCTTATTTGGTCATCGTCAACTTCTTCAACTACAGCTTCCAAGTGAGTCATTGTCATGTATGTATCAAGATAAAAAGTTTCAAAAAAATGTGAAACTTTTACGATTTAAAATCGATTTCATCTCAACCCGAGTCAAAGTTCTATTGTTCTTGAATAAGGTACTCGATAAAATTTATATTGTTCTTGAATGGCTACCAATTTCTAAAGTTACTAACCTTAGGTCAGCCTTTCTCTTCCCACACCTGCAACCATCAATCATAGAAGATAATATTGAGATCGGTCAACCAACTTTTAACAGCCATTGATTGTTAATTATATAGACACAATAGTTATCTTAAAAAATAAAATTATAAATAAACCAGTATAAATTAAAGATTCGCCAAATGTAAATAAACACCTAATTTTGATCAAGAAGCTGTTTCCATCAAAAAGTTTGTATTTTTTTTTTCAAATTGCAATTACCTACATACATTTAATAAATACACATAAAACATACACATGACATAACACATTAATCTCAGATATGAACAAAAAATTCAAAAACAAAATATTTGACTTCAAAAACACTTTTGGGTTCGGTAGAAAAAAAAAACTTTTTGGTCTGATTTAATCCTCCAAAAATCGTAATCAGATCTTCCAGTTATTTGATATCATGTAATTTTGTATATCTAACTTGTGTCTACTTCTATATATATTTCAGAATTTAAACGTGAAATCTTCTTTCTACTTAACGTTCTCGTCCTTTTGATTTTCTAAAAATCATATTTCACGATATCGACTTTGAACTTGTGATTGTAGTCTAGTAGATTAGTATATATGAATACTATTAACCGAAAGAGAAAATTACTTCTGATCAGAGTGCATCACAACTGTTGCGGCACCACAACCTCCAAATCCGTGCGACCTTCATCTAGCTTTTCTACAGTTTCATCATCGGTATATCCCTGATCTAGAAGCTTATCTTCAAGAACAACAAGTTTAAGCTGGATTTGGCGCTTACGACTATGCTCAAGAATATTTTTGTTAGGTTTCCTAGTGACGCCGACGATACCCTGTCTAGCCTCATAGCCATCGTTGTTCCTCGTCAACACTTTGTTTTTCTTAGGGTGAACTTATTGCTCTGAAATCAGAATTCAGAAAATCAAAAAAGAAAAAAAAAAGTTAAATCAAAGAAATTACGAAATCAAAATTCGATTTCTTACTTGCTTCTTGATGGATGATCAATGATGGCTCACCAATCACTCAATCGATGTTAGTGGAACTCTAGAAGTTCTAGAACCGATTTCAGAACACTAAAAAAATCAATCTTCATGACGATATGGAAGATGAATCGAGGTTTGGGAGTGCAGAAAATTAAAACTTGACTTCCTTCAATAGAGAGAGAGAGAGAGAGAGAGAGAGAGAGAGAGAGAGAGAGAGATCTTTCGTATGTCGTTCTGATGGTATTGAAAACTGAAAACGCACTTGCCATATTCAACCTTCAAGAATCGGCATAACATAATGATGAAGTGAGAAACCTAGGGCGGTTTTTTTTTCATATTTTCTTGTTATTTCAGTATATTTGGGATTAAAAAGACAGAAAATACATATGTTGGGCCTCAGTAGGTTTTTGTTTTATCGTGGGATGATGAATTATTTTTGGAGGATACTAAAATTGAGAGGCGGGCTTTTAAAAATAATTAGAAAATAAATTATTTTTTAAATTATAATTGAATTTAAAGTAACATAATCTTATTTTTTATATTAATAATTTTTATCTAACAATTTATAAAAGTCACCTTATATAAAAATTAATATTATTATCATACGAAAAGTCACC